CTCGCGCGCCGCCAGGCCCGGCCCGAGGCACGAGCGGCCGCCGCCATCGCGGGCCGCGCACACGGGGACCCGGGCCGCCGTACCTGAGAAACCAGCGGGAGCAGCGTCTGTTCCACCGAGCGAGTTCGGATCTCCAGTCCCGAGTCGAAGGCGAAGCCGGACGGGCTGGAGCCGGGGATGGCGCCCGCGACGCCGCCGCCGGGAACCGGAGAAGCGGCCATGGCTCTCCGCCCGTCGCGCAGCCTGCGCTCCGCAGCACCGCGGGCCCGCCAACCAGCCCGCCGGTGGCCCGCGGCCACTCGACACCCAGGCCCCGCCCCCAATCTCCCCGCCCCAGCAGTCACCGCCTCCAGAGCCCCGCCCCCAGCGGCGGACCACCGCCTCAGCCCCGCCCCCAGCTCTGAGCCACCGCCTGGGTCCCATCCTCAGCCGCCAGGGCCGGCCCCACGGCCTCCACTCACCACGGTGCCTCTTTCCGTAGCCCCGCCCCCTGACAACCCCCACCTCCCCTCGCCTCTGGGGTGTATTCCAAGCATCACTCTGATCAAGGAGAAATAAGACACCTCTCCCAGGTTCACGTGGCCTCTTATCTGGCGGACAATCCTCCCAGCAAGGCTTCCCATCTTCTCTTAAAAGTCAATTCTGAATTCCCACAAAGATTTCTATAAGTTGTGCCGGGGTTGAAAGCAGTAGAGAACTCTCTCCTGGACGGGAATTCCACTTGTCTTTATGGGGGCGTCGCAGGAAGGGGCCATTTCCTCCATTTCCATTTTCTGACCCCGCATCTCTTCCACTTTGAGTCGAAAGTGATAATGCACTTGGCATAAGGAGTGTCTCAGCAAAAAGACAGTATATCTTGCAATTAATCTCCCAATTAATCAAGGGAATTTAAAAGCATGAAAGTTGTGTGCACTGCTAAATCTTTTTTAAAACTACTTTTTGAGCCGGGCGTGGTGGCGCACGCCTTTAATCCCAGCACTCGGGAGGCAGAGTCAGGAGAATCTCTGTGAGTTCAAGGACAGCCCGGTCTACACAGTGAGTTCCAGGCCAGCTGGGGCTACAGGGAGACCCTGTCTCAAAAAGACAAAAAAAGGGAAAAAAACTACTTTTCACAATTATTTCCATTAGGCACTAGCAGTTTCATCACTGTTTGTTGAATGAAAAGATCAGTGTCGACTTCTGACTGAAGCCACTTAATACTAAGAATCAGTTCTCTTGGCCCAATCTTGAGGTCACACAGAGCCCCTGTGATGAGAGAATGCCAACACTGCTTAACCTCAGGTTCCAGGAACAAAGCCAAAGGAGGCTGTCAGAAGCCTGCACCTTATGAAATTCTAGACTTAAGCAATAGCCTGAGAAGCATGAATGGTTTGCGAAGGACCATAGCTGTTAGTGAGAGCCTATCTGGGTAGAAAAGAATCTGCAGCTGGATGCTCCACCCTCCCTCCTTTGCCAGGATCATTTCTCCATCCAAGTCAGACTAACGATGTGGGTAGGTAGCATTCACTTGAGGTGCTGAAAGGTTTCCTGAGTACTGTTGAAATGTGCTTCTCAGTGCTTTCCGTTACATGGTTCAGCTTAGTTGACCACAGCAGCACAGGTACCTCTGGTAGTGAAGAGAGCCAAACTTAGACTTGTTTGCTTTATTCAGAAAGGAGAGCTCTTGAATTCAGCTCTTCCTGTTGTTACCCTCAACCACCACCTTCACACTTCTACCTACAAGGCTAATGCACCAAGGGGCTCTGGCCTTAGCTCTGGGCCCTTTGGCTTCTTTAAGGTGTAAACACACAAGCCCCAGACACTTCCCTTCATGTAAGCTGACCAAATTTCATAAAAATTCAGTGTAGATGCTGATGTCAATGGGAAAGTAGGGTTTGTAGGAATGTTACAATAAAGATTTCTCAACAAGAGGCTGTTTACCACCCGATTCATCCAACACTTGTAATTTTATTTCAAAATATAAATATCTTACATTTTAAAATATTATCAGTAGGTTGTCAATGCAAATTAAAGTTAATAAACAGCATTTTGTAATAAAGAATTCTTGCATTTGAATGTTCATTTTTCCTTTCAAACCATCTCTCCTTTGCTTGAGAATGCAAAGGTGATACATTTTCAGAGTTAAATAATTACAAACATATGTTCAGTCTTAGTTTCACAATCAAATAGTATCTGAAATACAATCCAAGAACCTAAACAAGTGACACTGTAGAAGGTACAGAAGAGTTTTCACACTTCTGAGTCACTCCAATACAAAAGAACTGGTATTTCAAAATCAGCAAAGACAACGTTAAGATTTGTTCCGTATCTTTCACTGTATCATATAAAGCTAGAAGACCAAGTATAAAGAACTTGGGCCTTGAACTTAGGGATTCTACAACCAAATTCTGGTTCCATCCTTTTGTGATATAAACTTAGGAGAAGGAAGGAGGGGGAGGGAGTGAGGAGAGGAGGGATGAACAAACAAAAGCTCTGCAGACTTTCCAGTGCCTCATGTGTGCAATGACTATAATACTGTCCAGCTCACAGGGTTGTCCTCAAAGAAATCTGAAAACTATAAAGTGCCATACAAAAGCATTACTAAAATGCAACATCACCACTGTATTTGCACATTAACTGACCCTTGAAAACATGTGAAATCAAACACAAATACAGATTTTACAGACCATAGGTGGAAAAGAACCTCTATAAGTATAGAGTTCTGAACATCAAATATGCTTTCTTTCTAGTATCTCATTAAACTGTCAAGACCTATCAGAGATCACATGAAATCACGGTAACTGTTCAGTATTTTCTTCTAAAAGACCTGTAAACTTGATCAAAAGCTATGTTGCCCAAAGGACTCCTAGTCCTTTGAGGTCCTCAGAGAAAGAGAGAGGAGGTGGGGCCCAATCTGAACTGCAACAGTCTTTGTCCCCTCTTATAAATTCACAATGTATCATGGCATATTGAAAACTCTTAGGCATTCTAGGAAGGGAAATAACTGAGCATTTCTCCGTTTTAATTGACCACAGACTCCCCCTTCTCCATCAGTTTTTCTCTTACAACATCTAGTAACACTCTTGGAACTACTGCTATAGGAAACTTTTCTTTCTTTTTTGGTCAAAAGCTGCTTTACTATGAAGAAAGGGAAGAGAGACAGAAGGTGGTCTTAAAGGGACAAGATCTGTAATTGGTATTCCTCTCTAAATTCTGTCACTAACTGGCTGTGAGTTACATAAGCTTCTTTACCCACAAGTTTGTTTCCTTCCCTAGAAAATGATTGGATCATTTAATTATCTACAGCCCATTCTAGCACCAAACTTCCCTGACTCTAGTAGAAAGAGCAACTTCCTTTACAATTCTCTTGAGCATTTTAAAGCTATATATATATAAAGAAATGCTTAGTGGCTTCAGATCTTTTTGAGGGTTCCCAATAAATTAATGAATATATATTTTTGAGACAGGGTCTCACTATGTAGCTCTGGATGACTTAGTATAGACTGGCCTCAATCTCACAGATTCACCTGCCTTTCCCTCCCAAGTGCTGGGATTAAAGGTATACACCACCATACCTGGCTGAAATGGATATATCTTGATGGCAAAATTAGGAAAGACAAGTATGAAATTCCTGGAAAGACCATGGGAGACCCTCAGGAGACTGTAAAATCAGAACTGGAGCACTGGAAGGCTTGAGGTTATTTCACCATTAAAGGAGGTTGAAAGAGAGTTCACCTAATTTAATTTGTTCTAATCTAACCCCTCAAGGCCTAGTTCTGAATACTTCCTGCCCAACAGTGACACATTTCTGAAACACTAATATAACCATAGTGGGAACCAGAGGTACAAGAAAGTTCTTTCAGGGCATGACAAGTTCTCATTTGGGCTAAGGTTAGCCAGAAGACCTCCCCTGCAAGTCCTTCGGCTAACTGGAATAAGCAGCTGCCATTTCCAATGCCCACATTTGTTTGAATATAGGGTCTCCACCTAATGTATCTTACACATCTTTTCATGATCAAGAGTCAACCCACACTAGCCTCGGATCCCAAGGGAAAACAGGCAGCTCTTGAGAAAAGAAGGGGTTAGGAGGCTGCTGTTTTAACAGCATCTAACACTGGCTGCTAAGGAGACGCCCAGAGATCACTTCCAGGAACAGACGGTGGGATTCAAGCAGGACTTACATGACACGGAATTTTTGCTTAAAGTCCTATGTCTTGTCCTCTTCTTGTAAAGAGAGGAGCAAACCAGTATGTAGAGTTTTTCATCTCCCCTGGCAACCACTCAGTTTATAACTGAATAGTGAATATGAACTTGAAACTAATTCTTAACATATCTATAAAATCTAAGTTGCTGTGACAGATTTCTGTGCTCAGTCTTTACTGAAGACACTTATGCTTCATGGATGCATGCTCCTAGGTTACAAGAATTTATTTAAAACAAACAAACTAGACCAAGCATACATGCCCTCTGCTCCTACAGGAAAGGCCTCTTCCCAGGTCAAATTCCAATGCACTCTTCAGGGTGGATTATGTTTAAGATTTGAGCTTAAGACTCCTACCTTGTCAGGCTACCTACTCTCTATCTGCCCTGGGAAAATTCTCTCAGAGCTCTTCCCTGTACCTGACTCGTGCCAGGGTGCTTTTCTGGTTCTGAACTCCCCAGCTGGTAGACCTTCAATGGAGTAGATCAAGTTTCCTGATTGGGACTGTGTGTTACTGTAGGGACTTCTGCTCCTAATATTTCAGGATGGCATTACATCACTGTTGCTAAATTAAACAGCTCTAAACTATCCTCTTAGAACCCAGAGTTCCCCTCTTAAAAAAAACTGGTATTCAGACTAATAACTATCCCAGCAACAACTATGTATTAGCTCAAACTTAGTTATTTGGAATTTTGCTTTACACAGCTAAAAGCACTTTGGAGCAACATAATTTGTATATGTACATGAACTTGCTGTGTATAATATTCGCCTCATGAATATGTGCTAATGATAGCTATAAACTTACTAGGATATAGTAAACAAACACAAACTTCTCTTTTCAACCATTTTAATGCAAAAAATTTTAGATTTAGTATGATATGTGATCTGGGTGATATTAAAATAAGATAAGCCTTCCTATGAGTTATCTCCCACAGCACCCTGTACAGTCCCTGGCATGGTACTTAACAGTTTACTAACTCTCAAAGAAAGTGTTAATAAGCAAATGAATAAATGACTAGTGGCCAATCTAACAGGCAATGGAAAAACAGGTTATTAAGGTTGAAGGCTTCATAATACAACTAGGAGACCTGACTATAGCATACTTTATATAACAACAGGCAAAAGACATCGCATTATAATCTTTTCTACGTGGGTTGTTTTTAAATAACATGACAATAAATTTATAAACTTAGATTTTTTTTTTTTGTCTTTTTTTTGTCTTTTTTGAGACATGGTCTCCCTGTAGCCCCAGCTGTCCTCCTGGAATTCACTATGTAGACCAGGCCGGCCTTGAACTCTCAGATATCCACCTGGCTCTGCCTTCCAAGTGCTGGGATTAAAGGTGTGCGCCACCACACCCGGCCAAATTTAGATGTTTTAAGAAAAATTTTACTCTTAAATGTTTTTGTTGTTGTCATTTTGAGACAGGGTCTCCCTGTAGCACCAGATGACCTGGAACTCGATCAGTAGACCAAGTTGGCCTCAATCTCACAGAGATCCACCTGCCTCTGCCTCCCAAATGCTGGGATTAAAGGTGTGTGCCACTAAGCCTATCAAGACTCTAAGTTTTTTTAAGAATCAGAGTCTTTGACAAAGACTCCTCCCGTTCCCCTCCCATATTCCTTTGGAAGCACAGAAAGGGCCTGGTGATTAAACAGACAGAAAGGATATCACACTAGGAGATGGGTTCTAGTCCTAGCCCTGTCATTAACTGCAGGTCAAGTATTCACTTGTAGCAGCAAATGGAGAGCAATACTTAGTTCACAGTCCTGGGAAACCTGCCTAGGACAAAAGAAGAACTGCTCAGTAGCAGAGTTTGCAGTCCACGAAGTTAGAAAGGTCTGAGACTAATCTTAATAAACTTTGTGGCTTTGCAATGGTCACTTTCCTGAAGTTCAGCATAGAGTCATGCTGTTGTGAATAACACTAAGCTGTGAGAGCCGATGTGAAACGGTATGCACAAGGGGACTGCATAAATTGTAAAGCACTAGGCTGGTTATTGTCATAGCTGAGAAACAGAAAGTTACAGCTCAACTCAGCAAGCATTCATCTAGAGTGGCATGTGCAAGGCACTGGGGTAAGTGACAGAAAATACAAAATTCCACTGCTAAGTAGCTGACTGGCAGAGTTCCAAATAACGAAACAGGGATACACACAGCAAACCAGAGGACTGCTAGACCTGAGTCTTTTCATATAAAAGAATTCAAAGAGGAAATTGGACAGCATAGACTCTATCATATTGTTACCATTCATAGCAGCTTAGTAAGTCTGTTAGTTCAGTGTGGTCAAACAAGTTTTAGAAATTTGGCAACACTGCAACGAGGGATTCAGGGAAAGGAAGTGGAGGAAGAGCTCCAGTCTCTGTGTCTCCTCTCCTCACAAGACACTGCTGAACAAATAAGACACCCTGCCTTTATTGCTAAGACTTGTTTCATCTCCAAGAAGGGGATATGCTATTCTAGATGGTATCTGGCTCTCTTTTCCTGCTTAGAATCCACACACTACAGAGTGAAACTCTCTTCTTTGAAAGAGGACTGTCACTTTAGAAAAGTTCACAGATTTCCTAAAGCAGGAGAAAATTACAGTGAATATATATGTATAATAGCAGGTACTTCAGAATCCTTAAAATAATTTTATAAATACATCTTATAACCAAAGTGAGAAAATTTCACTCCATGGTACTGGTACATGAACTGAAACTTTTCAAGCCATCTTAGCATATGCTATGAGGAAACCACATTTCTGAACTCTCAAGCTGTGTTTTAAAATGCAAGGCAGCTCAAAGCAAGTTCTCTCTTGTTCAGTGTTCTGCATGTAAGGCTGGGAGGCTTCTGCTTCTTTTCTGGGTGCTCCTGCCTGCCAGGCACAGCTGACAGGACAGAGGCCACAGCTGAGAGAACGCACTGCCAAGGTGGAACTCCCCAGACAGATCACAGCAGTGGGACCATGTCAATCCACCGAAGATTTCAGATCTTCAGAGATTTCACGGAAAGTCCTAAAAGAAAAGACAGAATGGTTTGTTTTTCTTTGGAAAGGGGTGGGGTGGGGGCGATGAAACCAGAGAGAAAAAGGAAGAAGGGGGGGCAAGCACAAAGCCAGTTACCACACAACAGTATTTTATTTTATAATCTTTGAGAAGGTAGATGAGGTGATACAGTCACTATCTAATGCTTGTCACCACAACTGTTTCAAAATCTACTAGCTATCCCTCATTCTTTACTAATAAGAATCCAGTTTTTGGTTGTGTCCAAAAACATCCCCAAGCCCCCTTAAACTACATATGACCACGTGACTAAATGTTGGCTACTGAGGTGTTACAGAAAAGTACTATGGGGCATTTGCTTGGCTCTTACAACTTCTAATTCGAAAGAAGGTATGATGGTATTAAAGAGGAAAAAATCTCTTGGAGAGGAAAAATTACATTCTGAGTGAATGAATTTGTTAGAAAATGGAAAATCTAATCCAGCACAGAGCCCAAGCACTGAAGGAAGGGGGGTTCTGGGCAGCATATGTGGGGTAGGTATTTTTATTACATGACTTAAACTGTTTCTGGCCCACATAGATAACTAAGTAAAGTTGCCAAGTGGGCTGGATAGCAAAGTAGTCTGTTACACACACAAGATGTCTACTTCAGGACAGTGATGGCTAACTTGCCTTTGATATAACTGGCACACCTGAGCCATAACATCACCTGGCAAAGTTGGCACTTTTATTGGCAGCCAAATAGCCATGTCAAAGTTTACCAGTGAACATGAGTTCCTGCATCCATCTTACACAGCCACATAACAAAGTTGGCAGGGCATCAGCATGAAGATAGAGAGGCTGGACTCCGGCACTTGTGGTACATACTAGACCTGAACTGCCCCTCTGGATATCTTTTAAACAAATGAGAAATAAACTAGCTTGTTTAAGCCACAGCTGTTTTGAGTTCTGCTGGCCCTGAGTTTGTAGAGTTGGGAGTATTATTCTTACATGTAGAGAAACTTATCTGAAGTGAAATATCTACAAAATTTATTACCAACATTTTAGACAGAAAACTTTGTACTAGGACCACCAAGTAGGAATACAAAAGACATTTGACCTTAAAACACTTGCATTTTCT